AATTTTTTAAAAAAGATGAAAAACGAAAAAAAGGGCAAGAAATAAGAAAAAGAAAAGGAAAAGATCTAAAAAGAAAAGAAAGATTAGAAGGTAAGACCCAAGTGTAGTGATAAGAATTTGGTTCACTTGTTGGATGTCCCAAGTTCAAACCTCAACAAGTGCAATTTGTTTTTGGGAAAAAAGACGAGAGAAAAAAGTTATGACTAGTGCAATTTGTTTTTGGGAAAAAAGACGAGAGAAAAAAGTTATGACTCATCAGGTGGCTTGTGGGAGCGACTTAGTAAGTAAAATGATGAGTCCATAAGAAAGCTCCAGCATTGCACAAGAGGGAAGGCTTGTAGCTGACTAAACTTGGGCCGTGTGTGGGTCTATTGTTGCACCCAAAAAGCTTAGGCCAAACTTGCCTAAGCAAGGTATAGGCCTGTTAACTTCTTATGTCTTTTTTTTTTGTTTGTTTGTTTTAAAATTTTATGTTCTTCAAATACATGTCTTAGACTTGTATTTTTAGAAAAAAAAATGTGTGTGCAATGAAAAAACTAGAAAAAATGTGGCTAATGGATGTCTAGGAATGATGTAGGTAGAATACCTAAAGAAAATTATATCCTTGTGTGATGAAATTTAAAAATGGACAGTACTTGGAAATAAAAGAATTTATATAAGACAATCATTCGTAAATATAAGTCATTTAGGCGTGGTGAAATATAAAAAGAATGCATATTTACTTCAAGTTATTAAATTAGAATTATCTTAAAATCTTACTAAAAGTATTAAGGGATTTAAGAAATTTTTTAATAAATAAATAATAAAAAGTAAGAATTAAAAATGTCCAGAATTTTTTAAAACTTTACCAAAAGTGTCAGAGAGTCTGAGAATTTTCCCCAAAAAAAAAAATAATAGTTGTTAATGAAAAAGGTAAAAAGAGAGAGAAGGTAATAATAATAAACTATAACTATAATCGTAAAAGAAGTCCTACCAAAAATGTTGGAGGATTTAAGAGTATTCAAGAAAATAATAATAAATTTAAATGTGAAAAATTTCCAAGACTCTTCCAAGAGAGTTGGAGATTTTAAGAATTTTTACAAAAATGATAATAATAAATTGAAATTTCCAAAATTCTACCAAAAGTGTTGGAGAATTTAGGAATTTGGGAATTTTTCCCATATATAAAAGGTACTTGGTAATAGCAAAATGTTGAAAGATTTTTTGAGATTCTACCAAATGTGTTAGGAATTTAAGAAATCTCAATATTAAGAGATTCCTCTTTATCATTAGCGAAGATAAAAATAGTAAAATAACAAAACTATAAAAGGAACAAAGAAATCATAAAAGGAAAATACCTAACCCTAGTCACTCATTAAACACTAAAATAATTTGATGATGGAATCTCTTCAAGAAAAATAAGTGATTTTCTTGAATGTCTTGAGGTGAGGAGATTTTTCTTAGTTCTCACCAAAAATGTTGGGAAAATCTAAGAGAAATTTTCAATATTAAATAAGTGAAAAAAAATAGAAAAAAGTTAATAAATAAATAAAGAAAAATAAGAAGTCAAAGACTACTAATTAAGACTACGTATAACACATGACAAATTGGTTCTGTTCTTTAAATAGGCGTCGTGGGGGTGCTAATTCCTTCCCTATGCATAACTGTACTCATGAATCCAAAAACTATTTCATAGATCGAAAATTATTTTTTAAAATAAACTTAGGTTAAGCTTAAAATAACGTTTTAAAGAAATAAACTCAAATAGGTAGCCAATTACTCTTAAAAAAAAAATTGGTGATGACTCCATTCCACGTCGAGTGGTCCAATTCCAAGACTCCACGTTATGACAGTTGCATCTAAATGGATGGGTTCATATAGATTGGCAAAAGTGACTCATTTAATGTTATTACTTCATTTTGTAACCCAAAAAAGGCATCATGGAGGATGAGGAGTACTTTTTTGTTGATTAAGGGTTTGAAATGGAAAATACGTGAGTGGGAGATTGTCTGAGTGCCTAGAACAGCAAATGAGTTGACTGATGACTTGGCAAAGGCTGGGGTGGAAAAGGAGGAAGATTTATTGTGGGTGGTTGACTAGGCTTGGGTGGAGTGAATCTAGGATACCACATATAGGTGTTTTTTTGGTGATTGTATCTGATGATGCTAATGGTTTTGTTGTTTTTCATTTCATTATGGTTTGTTCCTAAGGTGGCATAGGTTTAAAGAGGATAACAAGGCTTTTAGTTGCTGATCAGTGCAACCTTTCTTATTATCGTGAGCTTATCTTTTGAGGTTTCTATAAGCATCATCATCTTTTCTCTGTTTTGATAACAGAGGCTGTGAAAAGACAACATGAAATCAATTATTAACATGATACAAAAAAAAAAAAAATAAATAACAGGGTGAAAAAAGAGGAAGAAAATGGGATAAAGGAGTGATGAGAGGTATTGTAGGAAAAATATGGAGAAAGAGATGGAAAAGGTGGGTTAATTCGATTGGGGTAAAGTAAAAAACGGAAATAAGAGAAAAGAGAAAAAGAGGAAGGGAAGAGAAGAATAAAAGAAAAGAGTAATCGAATAAGGGAAGAAAAGGCAAGAGAAGAAAGCAAGAGTAGAGTGCATGGGAAAAAGAAATATGTGGAATCTAGAGTCATATAGGTAAGTTGAGGGAAGGTGAGCAAAGCCAAATGTGAAGAGAAGAGAGGTGGTAAGATTAAATGGAATGGATGTGAGTTTAACTTAAGAGTTTGCCTCTATGGGAATTATGAGTGGGGGTTTTTAATATGCAATGGGAGGGTGAGTGGTGGGTCGATTGGAATGGGAAAGAGGTTGGTCAATGAAAGGAATGGAAAGGTCTAGGAGTTGGAGGGAATAAGGAAAAAGAAGAAAAAGTTAGAACATAAATAAATATTGAAACATAGAAAAATCAAGAAAAAGAAAAAATAGGGAAAAAATGGAAAAACAAAGCAAATTTTCATTTTATTTATAAACTAGGGGAATGGAAACATGTGAATGAGGGACGATTACTTTCTCTTGAAGTGCATGTGACTTTTCGAACTTATGCTTGAGAAAGGTTTATTATATCTTGGTGATGGGCGTATTGTTTCTGTTTTTTCTTTATGATCTTCTTGTGTTTTTTATGATGTGTATGAAATGTTGTGGTTGGGCAAACGGTTTTTGTGTGAGCTTTTTGAGCTTTTGAAAGTCTTGGATTTAAGATCATCATGAGGAGGGTCATTTGCTGTTTTGAGAACTAGGTTTCTGTCAAAGAGTTAAGAAGCCGAAGGAGGCAAATGGAATTCTAAGTATGTGAACTGTGGGAGAAAGGAATGCATGGATATTACATGATTAGATCCAAAAAGGAATATTGAATTTGTGAAGTTGCTCCGTTGTGTACAACAGCTGATAGCTCTCTGTGTCATTGTCTTCTTTTGGCCTGTCTCTTTCTTTTTCAGAGATTTACATTTGGTTTTTCTGTCAGGGGTGTTGGATTCGTTTCTTCTCTGGGGTTAGGAGTTGTGTGTCTGTTGTTGGCTTGTTTGCTGGTGGTATTGCCCCACTTTTATCCAGTGGGTTGGAATGTTTTCTTTCTATGTGTTTCTGTTGGTTTGTGGTGGCTTTTTTGCTGGATTGTGTTGGTTTGGTGTGCCATGCCGGGTAATTTATGTTTTACCTCTCGGTTTTTTTGAAAGGGATGCTTCTTTTGGTGCAAAGCTGCCTTGTAGTGCTCTCCCAAGAACTTAATGCACCGCTTAGGTGTTAAGGAAATTGCTGGAACAAGGGAGGGTTTTGGTTTTCTGCTTATTGGTTATTGTCTTTCGATGCTCTTACTATTTAGAATCAACAAGTTTGGTCGTTTTGTTGTTGCTGAATTTCGTTTTCTGATGCTTGGTTGAAAGACTATTGTTTGGATGCAAGGCAAAGGAGCAATCCTTTGTCTGGATTTCCCATGGTTTATGTTGAGTTGGTTGTGGTTTGAGTCAGAGTTAAGGGATGTGTGTTGTTTGTATTGAATCTAAGTGACGTTTTGCGGGTGTGTGATGGCTCAAATTATAGAGTTGGTTTTTATGTTTGTTCTTTCTCTTGTTAGGATGGTGGTTAGCATGTTTTTTGTCGAGAGTTAGCTGCCAAAGGTGTTTTTGGCTTCATTTTGTGTTAAGAGGCATATGGCCTGTTAATTAGGGAAGAGTAGGAGTCCTCTTAAGTATGGATGTGTGGCCCAAAGTGAGGGAATTTCAACACCTTTTTGAGCGGTGGGTCTATTTTGTAATTGTAGAGTTTCCTTGTTGTATAAATCAGGTTTGATGGTAATAGAAGTCGTTAGCAAACTGCTTTGAAAATTTGACTGCAATGCTAATGCTAGTGCTAATATAATCATCTTTCAGAAAAACACAATTAAAAGTACATTTTGCATCATCCTTGTGGTGAAGTAACAGAGGTGAGAGCCCTTTAATTGTTTGATCAAAATTAAATTGCCAAGTGCGCTCCCAAATTTTTGCCCAATAGAATTATATAATTATTAATACTAATTTAGTTTAAGAAAGTTTTAATTTTATTCCATTGAAATCTAATTAATATTTCACTTTGAACTTTAATTATTGAGTTGGCTGTACTGAGTCCGATAGAGTTGTTATGTGTTTTGGTTCGCATATGATTGGTACTTGTGGAGTATGGAGGCTGTGTTTGAGAAATATGTATGAGATTGCTCCAATAATTGTAGAGATATCAACTGTGAGGATTTTTTTGCAGTGGGGAATGATTGTACAGGTGTTGGTTTTATTGAGCTTTTGTGGACAATGGGGAATGATTGTACAAGGGGTTGATTTTTGATTGAGCTTGTGTTTACTTGAAGGTCCCTATTCCTACTCCTTTGTATACATGGGTGAGGAGCTCTCTCTGATTTAGCTTCTTCAACCCATGAGTTATTATCAATGAAGTATAGCTTTCTTTTTTCTTTTTGCTTTTTTAAATGCATCATTTATGTGACTTCTATTATCATACAATCATTTACTCTTACAAATAGTAAATAATATTTTATTAATAATAAAAGTTGTCGTTATTACAAGATTCCAATATCGAGCATCATGGCTCTAATGCTTGAGAAAATCCTTGAACCAATGGGCTGAGAGTTTCGGGTATCTTTTCAACCCATTTTTGTAATCGACAAAGTTGATGCCAAACCTCACGGTATAACCATTCATCCATTCAAAGTTATCCAACAACGACCATGCAAAGTACCCTTTGACGTCCACAGCATCCCTATGTATGCATGAAGCAAAAATATGATAAATAGTTATCTTTTGGACCGATGAAAAAGAGTGAGAGAGACATATATCAGAGAGAAAAGCACTTACTTAATCGCAAGTTGAATGAAGGAAAGATGTGCACGGTGGTAATCAATCCTCATGTTGTCGATAAGGGCTTCCTTCAGTGGCAATGTGGCATTGTTAACCTCGTCAACGCCTACAATGCATGGAATTATAATTTTCATTGTTGTCCGACTTAATTTGTTTTTTAAATAAAGAAAATGGAAACCATAAGGAATTAAAGGCTCTCCCAACAAGAAACAATAGCAAGAGTTTGTAAACATGACATAAAAAATTTCCTATAGCTAATTATGAGTCTTTGGTATTGCTTGATTCCATGTGTTATATCAATTTATGTATAAAAATGAAAATCATTACCTAATTCTAGTTTCCTTCCGTTCTATACATGAAATTCTTACAATAACTAGGACTAAGCAATCAACTTATGTATTGTGCTGCAAAGATGAAGGAATAGTGACAATGAAAAAAGGGGAAATATCTGCATCTTTACATTTACAAACACTTTTCCTTCAACCAAATACTAGAAGAAAAAGATCAAAAGAAAAATGAACTTAATTATTTCCTACACCAAAATTATAATTTTAACCTGCTTATCTCTTTCATTTTGTTTTATCTCTTATATGAAATACATATTAGAAAAGAAACATTCGAGTATTTAGTTCAATAATATATATATATATATATATTCAACTCAAAAAGATACGAGAAGAGAGAAAAAATTTTCCTTTATAGAAAAATATATTATTTTACTTTTAGTTAGAATTAATAATTTTGCTAAAATTGGTGTTGCACTTTATATTTGTTTGTTTATTAATTTTTTTTTAAAAGCATTAGTTTGTTTATTAATAATCAATTATGATTTTACTTTTCTAAAATTGGCTTTTGTTTCCTTTTCTAACAAATAAAAGCATATAGCTAAATTGTCTAAATAAAAAAACATATAGTAAATAGAAAAATTAACAACCAAAAGAGTCTTACATTTTCCGTCTCTCCTAATATACACACACACACACACATTATAACACTATGTTAATGAAAAAGAGATAAGGTTAACCTACCATTCTCAGTAATATAGATTAAAGGATTGTTGTACTTTTCCTTTACATAAAGCAAAAGATCTCGAATTCCTCTTGGATATACATAGAGCCAATTTGAACCTGCCTGCAACATTTCAATGCAAGGAAATTGAAAATAAAAAGATTTAATTGAGGTTTTAAAAGGAAAAAACTATCCGAAATTATTAAAATGGGAAGACTAATTCTTATGCAATTTGCAAAACATGTGATGTTAAAGTTGATTATTGTTGTCCTCACCATCTGGCCAATTGGAATCCCATGACGCTCAGCTGCAATAAAGTGAACAAATTAGTCATTTGGAAATTAATCAAGGATCATTTGCTTAACATGCTCAACTGATGACTCACTGGAAAGATTAGCACGGGCATCTGTCAAGTAGCTTGGCTTCCCAGCACTAAGCGTAGGAGCATAAGCTGCATAATTTGCAGTGTAGTAGTTCAATCCAAGAAAATCGAACGACCCTTTAAGCATCTCAGATTGCTCTTTGTTAAATTTAGGCAGACGACCTCCAACAAGAGATTGCATGCTGTGTGGATAGCTGCCAATGGTTATTGGATCCATAAACCTGTGAAAATCGTATAAACATCCAAATTAATTGCTCCTACTGATATATGTTCATTTCTACATCAAATAAAATAATTCAGAAAGATGCACCAAAAATTAAAGCTTGATGCAGAAAAACCTAGCATTAAATTAAGATGGACTGGAAATAGCAAAGTGTAAAACTAACCATCCAAACATAAAGTCAAGAGCTCTTAAAGCAGCATTTTTGTGGTGCCTTGCATTAGAAAATGGAACAAACCAGTGTGACACCAACGTGATTCCGATAATACCCTTCTGAGTTGCCTGTTAAAGTACAATTTTTTTGTTTTGTTTTGATCAATATTTATGGCTATATATATGATTAATTATTATTGTGATTATCTTGCCTACGTTTCATCACCTGATAATTTTGTCTGTAGAGTTTTACAGCAGCTGCATGAGCGAGAAGCAGATAATGACCCACCAAATATGGCTCTGTCCCCGAATCACCACCAGTGCAATTTAGCTTCTGCCAAGCAGAACAACGGCCCGGTGCTAGAAACCCAGATGCATATCCACCACTGCTGTAGCTCCAGGGCTCATTCAATGTAATCCAATGCTTTACTCTGTCGCCAAATTCCTTGAAGCAAACATTCGCATAATCTCGGAAGTCATCCCTAACAGTACGTATATACCATAAACAATTTAAATGGCAGTTCCTTATGGACTAAATATTTACTTGATGAGGTTGCAGCTATCTATTAATTAATGATGCTAGTCCTCCAAGAATAACAAGCTGTCTTATGCATCAATTGATTGAATTACACTACATCACTGCTGATAGTAATGTAATATTGAAATGAAGGAAGTTTCCCACTCGAACTGCTAATTACTTACACAATACGAGGACTTAAGAAACCACCATACTCATCTTCTAAGGCTTGAGGAAGGTCCCAATGGAAGAGAGTCACAAAAGGTTGTATACCTGCACGATTGTAAATCATTTATAATTCAAATTAAAAGCCTAAAATTATGTTCACGGTAATTAATTGACAAGAAAAATGAAATTGAATTGAGACCATTGGCTAAGAGCTCGTTGATGAGATTGTTATAGTAACGAACTCCTTCCTTGTTCACACCTCCATTTAGCTTTCCATCTGCAACAACAAATAAAAAAGATTAAATTGCCCCTATAAAAACTTTAACGCGATTTTTCCGACATAAGTCAGCCTAAATCCACCCACTTTTCTGGCTTATTCAAGTGCATGGGAAACGAGAATTCGAAAGTTTAGACCCTGTTTGGTATCGTTTCCTGTTTTTTTCTTTTTGTCCTTTGTTTTCTATTTTTGAAAATTTTGTACTTGTTTTGTTTTATTTACTTTCATAATTTTGAAACCATAAAACAAGTTTGGTAAGTAATGTTGCTACATACTGAAAACAAATATTTAAAAATTGTTGAAAAGTTAATAATTCGATACGCAAAATAAAATTAAGAAATAAATAGTGGCAGTGTAATTAATAAATAAAACTATATTATTTACATGATATTAATTAATAATATTTAGTAATATTATTAAACATTATTATTAAATCATATTAAAATTTAATATTATTCAAATAATACTATGTAAATAATATTAAATATTATAATTACATAACATTAAATAATTTAATATTGAAAAGTATAATTATATAAAACAGTATTACATCATATTACATATTACATAATAATGTTATTAATTAAAATATTTTAAAATTATATATTCAATAATATTATTAAATTATTAGATATTAAATGTTCAATTATTAAATAAATTAATAATATTAAATTATTTAATTGTAGTGTATGACATAATTTTAGTTATATTGAATAATATTATGTAATAAAATAATATTTAATCATATAAAATAATAGTACACGGGGGAGTGTTGAAACTTGAAAGATTTTATTCAAGACCTTAGCTAGATGTTTGGTTTATGGAATGAATAGGAATGGAATAGAATAGCTATTCTGTGATAATAAAATAAGGTAGAAATAGAATAGAATAGTTATGGTTGGTAAAAATAACTTTTTTTAAAAAAAAAATAGAGGATAAAAAAATAAAAATATCCTTTTTATATATATTATTATCTATTTTTATTTTTTAAATATTAATATTATATTTATAATTTAATTATTAATATTATAAGATATTAATATTTTATTTATAATTAAATATTATTATGATTATTTTTTATTTTTTAAATATTAATAATTTAATATTAGTTAAAATATTAATGACTGATAATTTAAGTATTAATATTATATTTATAATTTAAATTTTATTATGAATATTTATTTTTATTTTATAAATATTAATAATTTATTTATAATTTAACATTAATATTTTAAAATATTAATATTTTATTTACAAATATTAATATGGGTAGGATCGTATATTTTTAACCTTATGAAAGATAATTTAATCGTAACAATTTTTGAAAAGATTCCATCAAACGTGAAACAGCTAATACAAAAAAAAAGTAAGTTTAATTAAACCTAATTTTTAACTGATTTTAAAAAATAACAAGTCTTTAAGAATGACTAATCCTTTTGACACAATTGCGAACCAAACATGAAAAAAAAAAAAACAACACATGAGAAGAGAGGGGAATAGCTTAACTATTCCCCATACCAAATGTGAAGCAACTTCTGTTAAGAATCCTTTTGGAAGGAGTAGTTTTGAGATTTACTAATCCAGTAGTTAATAGGATGATGTAGATCCACCTTTGAACTTTGTAATAGAATAAGTGGACCCACTTATAATTTTATTAATTTTGATGTAGTAAACTAATTACTACATTGATTTTACTAATCCAGTATTTATTTTGTGTAAATTATAGCGATCACATCACATCACATCAACATCAAATTAAATGATTTGCAAGATAATTATAATCTTACTTGGCAAAACTCTGGACCATGAGATTGAGAATCTATAAGCATCTAAACCCATTTCTTTCATAATCCCAACATCTTCCTGTACATGTGAAACGAAATGTCTCAGCCCGACGTAGACATAGAACCAACGCCATAGTATACCACGAAACCCTTTTTCTCTCTTTCCACCATACCTTATAGCGATGATAGGAATCGATTGCTACATCTCCATTGCTGCCATCTGCTATCTTACCTGCAATCTCATGACCAAAAAGTTTTAGTGAAATTGTAATCTAAGATTTACTAACATGCAGACATTTTTTAAATAATATTTAGATATTACACTGTAATTTTATAATTTAATCATATATATACACACACGCAACATGCTTTTTAAAATATACACACACACGCGTCAAACATGCAAACGAGTTCTTCACAAAACTTTAATTAAGGTGTATGATTGGATCTTATTAAATGTTATTTAAAATTTAAATAAAATTACAAGATAAAGATATTGTATGGACTTTTCTACGATTCTGCCTAAGACAATAACCAGGAAAGGGAAAGATAAAGAATACGACAAAACAAGCAAAACGCTAACAAAAGATGCTGCAGCTAGTGGGGATATCATTGATTAAAATTTAAATAAAATTACAAAATAAAGATATTATATAGACTTTTCTAAGACTCTTCGTAAGACAATGACCATGAAAGGGTAAGATAAAGAATTCGAAAAGAGGAAGAAAACGCCACAAAAACAAATGATGCTGTAGCCAGTGGGGATATCACTGATCAAGCAATTGATCACTCTGCACTCACCAAGTGAGAGAGGCGTTTTCCTTGCAAATTAAAGTTTGTTTCTCACTTTTCATTCAAACGTTTTGCTTGTTTTTTTTTTTTTTATGCCTTTGTTGCCCACAGCCAAATTAAACTATTTGTAATTATAAAAAAATTTCACAGTGCCAGGCATTGTTCCTCGCACAGTGCCAGACACTTCCTTTTTCTTTCCCCATTTTTGCTATAAAAAAATGTTTTCCTTGTGTTATGTCTTATCCAAGGTCACATTGTTATAAAGGTTTATAATTATTATTTTCACCTAATTAAAAAAATATTAAGTGTATAATCAGAAAGCTTAATTATGCCTCCCATTAGGCTTTCACTGTTTTTGATACATATCTAATTAGTTATTGATAACATGGATGAAACAAGAAAAGGATCGATGTGAGGGTCATCAGAGAATCTAAGCAAGCAAAGACGCATGTTCGTGGAAAGTAAAATTTCTTTTTAGGTGTCCTACGATATTAATCGGCAACCAACCTCCTTTGAAATTTTTCCTTTTGATTAATGAATTCAGATATGTAACTTTTCTCATCATTTCTTTTCCTTTTTTTGTTTCATGCACATGAGGAAATTCGAGAGAATGATATATTCCGACTGTAGATCCTAACCCTTTTAAAAGGAGATAACAACAACTGAAATCAAGTTTTAATTGTTTTTCTTTTCTTTTTCTTCTTTTTTTTTCCTGTGTGAGAGTTTATAAAATTCATGTAAATTGAAGAGTTTTTATTTTATTTTTTTTGCATATATTATGTTTTGACGGGTATGTAGTGAGCAAGTATCTATGCATGTGAGAAAAGGATGAAAAGACAAAATTTTCATTCATCAAAATAATTGCCTAAGGACATTTCAGTGGATTGATTTAAGAAAACAAATATACCTGTGTAGTATTTCCACTATGAGATTATTTACTTAAAGAAAAGAAAAAAATTCCAAATCTTTAACTTAATTCCCAGATGCAGTCATCTTGGAGATGTTCTTGCCATGAAAATTTCTTCCATTCCCATTTTATTAATGGAAGCTACCTCATGATTTCTTTTTAAAAAAAAAATTTGTGAAAAATAAAGTGAAATTAAGAAAAAAGAGGCATCTAGGAAGTGAGACCTGGATACTTGTGAGTGTAAGTATCCCATATGCTTGGACCTCTGCCTCCTTCTTTAGCTGCACCTTCATACTGAGACGATACACGCAAACAGGAAAAGTATACGGTTGAAAGAAAAATCTCGAAAGTTAGATTTACGAAGACGAATCAAACGATGGGGTTAATTAATTTTACCTGGTACGAGGATGATGCAGTTCCGAAGACGAAACCAGCCGGAAAAGTTTTACGACTGAAGGAAGGATCAGTCACCTTGGTAGGCGTAACAGCTTTACTACTAGTGACTAAGCCAAGAAAAGCCCAAAGAAAAAGATGGAGAAGATAGCCTGGAATTGCCATTTTTGACTTGGTTTTTCGTTGTTGAAGAATCTAATTAGCTGGCCTTATAGAGAGAGAAGCGAAAGTTACGGAATTGACAGCTTAAATTAAGACAAGTAATATATTTTTGATTCTCAAGTTAACAGCCAAAATGTGGCATTAAATGTTTAACATAATAAAATATTATAGTTAATTAATGATAATGGGGGAAGGAGGTAAATTCAAAGTGTCCTGGAAAGCCACAATTCATTTAATGAATAATGAGTAATTATAGCTAATTAGCATGTTTTTTAATTGCAAATTATTAGCTTCTGGTGTCCACATTTTTAAAGCCTTGGAAAAACCATTTGGTAAAAGTGGTTACCGTTTCCCATCGAAAGCAAAGTTTTAACTTTTTCTAGTTTCCCCTTCACCCTAATTTATCCAAGACTTGAAAACTTGTTCATAATCTCTCCGGTCGTATCCATCCATTAACCCCCAGAATTGATTATGCACTTGCCATGATTTTATTTCAATGTGAAAGACAAAGTTTGGGATTTCAAGCTGCACCACATAATATATGTGTGATCTATCTTTAAGGTCATTTCCTTATAAAGTAGTCTTCTAAGAATTAGAAATAGGCAAGAGAGATAACTATTTATGATATCAACTTACCATGGTTTCTAGAATTTTTTTTTAAGAAAAAAAACCCAGAAACAAATCAGATTAAATGTCGCCAATTCTCCCTAGTTAAGCTAAGATAAAGAAATAAAAAAAAAAAAGAGCCAGCAAAGCATATGAAAAGGGTCTGCTTTAAATATTTAGGATTCTTTTATAACCAAAATATTTAGGAGAGTTTGGAAGAATTGACAATCTATATCGGAAATAAGGTCAATTCATAAACTGCCTGTTAGGCTGAGCTTCTGAAATCTGGAGCAAGGGGTAAAAGGCAGAAACTAGGTTATATAAAGTTGCAGAAAAACCAGCCATATTAAAAAATTAATAGAGAAATTTAATATATAAGAAATATTTATTTTAAATAATTTCAAGTTGAGTATCCATCGGGCCAAACAAGTCGATAACCTTGTAGAGACTTTGGCATTTTATATTTAAGGATATTAATTATTGGCACTCTTTAGTCAATAGGACTAATCTACGTGGTGGTCCTAATCTTCAATTTCTTCTTTGTACGAAATTATTTGAATCCATATAAATTCCTGATCATGTCATGTCATGAATTTGAACATCAAATTTTTTATTATTTAAATATAAAGAATACTTTTTTTTTTTAAAGGGGAGAGTTGGCATTGTTGGCAGCATTTATAACAATGTCATAAAACCGCTAATTATTAATAATTTTCAAATGCCCTGGAAAGACTGTAACGTATGACAGTTTGGGAAAAAGTCAAGTTCATTTTAATTTTTATTTTTTAAATATAAGAGAGAACAAATCGAATGATTTTCAATTATGATAAAGTAAGATTAGTGTTTCCCTTCCTCTCATATATAGTTGAGTGGAGAAAACAGTTAAACTTAAAAAATCTTATTTGAAGTAAGATATGATTGTTTCTTTTTTTAAAAGGAACTATAAATTAAACTAATATTGATATCTCTAAACTTAAAACTTTTGAGTAATAAAAAAGAGCAGGATTTAGATGAAATTCTTCCTCTAATATAACAATTTAGTTATAAATGGTAATTGGTACTGTAAAAGATGGCAAAGCCTAGCTAGTATAAATGATGACAAATTGAATCACCATCAGACAAGTCGAATATAAGGAGATGGAGAACATCATATTCGACGGAACACCAAATGCCATAACCTTCATTGGACCGCCGTTGCAGTCAACGGACTTTTCATGTGAACAATTCGAAATTAATAATTCCTCACGAATTTTGATCCATTTATTTTAAACTGCTGAGGTTCTGGTATTGCCGCATGTGCTTCTCCTGTTAAAGTATTAAACCGTAGATGACTGAGCATTAATTATAGGACAAGAAGTGCAAAACTGTTTTATAGGTCTCCTATCTGATTCCTTTGTTTTGTTATATGACTTGTATAAAAAAACTAGCAACGCTTTGGTTTGGTAATTTAGGTGTTTTGGTACTATCTGATAATAAGAGAGTTTATTATCGATATATACATTTTAAACTTATTCACTTTCAAATTCATTTTACAAAAACTTAAGTAGTCTATCAAAAAGAATTGTATTCAATTCAAATTTTATGGTCAGATTGGATCGTTTCACCCTATCAATGGCCCTGTCTCAATATCATTTTGCTTCTTTACCGTTTTAACATCAAAAGTGGAAACAACTAAGATTTGGATACACAGCTGTATTTACGAATAGTCATCAATCAATACATAATATTAATGTTATTCCCAAGTAGATACATCATGCATGAACCTAGAGATGAATACTTTCATATATCCTATCAAGTTACACCATTGCAATCATGTATAAACAAGGAAGAATAGCCATTGAATTTACAAAACCAGAGGATAATAAAAAGCGGCTTAAAGCGAACCAAGCCCTAGGGGCCTATTGAGACCATCAATTACTTTCTTGAGGCAACACACAAAGTCGGGTTTAGATATATCCTAGAGTACTAGGAGCTACTCCGTGTATACTTCTTCTGAGAAATCACCCCAAAAGAAAGCATTATTTACGTCCAATTGATAAAGAGATCAATTATGGATGCACTATTACTAAAAGATTGTTGGTATATGCTCTTAAATCAATTGGATTATTTTAGAAATATATATTGTTATTTAATACATACTTAATTGCATAACAATATGTGATAGAGATTTTCCTTTATATTAGTACAAAAATAAAAAGTTATTAAGTACAAATTGGATGAAGCCCATGAAACATAAAGTGCCTTGTAAGGGAATTATAAAGTTGATATAAGTATGAGATCTTCATGCATCAAAGCCATGTTCCAAAATAGTTCTTGGTCATTGTATTATCAAGATAGGGTATTGACAATGCTCAAAAATTGGTACATGTTAAGCCTCCTTATTTGAAAAGTAAACAATCGATCTTATAAATTGAAGTATATAAGATACTTGAAGATAACATGTGAGTGCTTGTTAGAGAACAAGGTCACTGAACATGACTCGTTATGAGAAATCCATTTGGTATTTCACTCAAGTATCTATGAAATATGTTTTCATATGATAGTCGTGCAACTAGTCCTCGAACTTGAGACACCAAGTCATCTTATGTAGGGAGTGACAGGTCTAGAGGTGACTAGATGCCTAAACAATGTGCTTTTGGGTATGGCATGAAGCATGCAAAGGTGAATGAAGAGTGGATAAGAGTTTAAGGGGATATATCTCATTGGTTCTTAATTTAATATTAACTTGTATAGAATCTTTGGCTAAAACATTTAAGGAAAGTTGGTTTCCTAAATTCATGAAGTTAATCATAAATCCTAAGAACTAATATGGAAATGTCATAAGTAGACATTGAGCCATACTTCATAACATATCTGAGATAAGTGATGAAAAAAGCATATTGCACTGAAAGGCTTATCATTGAAGAGTTTCGTCAAATTTTTTTAATTGACTCTTTAACATTTGAGTGATCATATTGTGTTGCTAGATACATTCATGATCTATAAATATTAATCAATTATTAAATCGATATTGAATTATGATTTATATTTATTGCCAACATGTTAGAAGCCTAATGAATCATGTACATTGAGATGAAATAAGGATAATTAATTAAGTTCGACTTAATTGAAATAGACTAAAAATAAAGTGAGAAAATTAATTAAGTTCATAAGGACTTAATTGAATAAAAATAAAAATGTTGTATCCAAGGTTACAACTATGTTTTGATATATAAATATGTTATCTTAGCCAACTAAAACTCTAAGTCCTAAGCCACTCCTCTTAGCTGAATTATTATTAAAAAAATAGTTTTCTTTATCTGACAGAAATAAGATTCAGCTAGGCTTGTTTTGGTTTTCTTATTTTTTAAAAACAAAATTTTCTAGCACAAGAAAAAATATTACCTTGATAAGATCTTAATTTGTCACTATGTGGATTATTGTTAAAGGCTAAACACTTGAGTGGTTGAAAATTTGACGAATCCCAAATGTGAAGAAGCAAGGATTTCAACTGCAAGGTTTCAGATTGTCTTTTGCGACAAGCATAATTTTGTTTCGAGTTTCTTACTTCATCATAAGCCTTTCTGGATTTAATTGACTTTTGATCACGATATCTATAGCAAGGTGTATGACACTAAAACTTATAAGTGTTCATAATTAATCTAAAAAATTGCATGAAAACACAAACAATTAATCTTGCAAGATTCAACTGCTTCTTTGAATAAATGTATATTTTTATTATTTTGTTGCGTTATGCTTGATTAGTTTCATGTTTAAGCATAAGGTCGAATCCTAGCAGAGATAGCGGGGGATCAACGTTGGGAATCGGATAAATCGTAAAACGTAATTCGCAGCACTAAATGTAGTAGACCAACAACCAATATCAAAAGCACAAAGCATAAGCCAAACTATTCTAGCCAACTTCTGACCCTTAAACACTCTCTTGGCAATACTGTCTAGTCAAGGCTTGAATTTTATGGCCTTAGCTTGTAATTAAGGTAACAAGGCTACAGAATACACATTATTGTGCTACAGTCACGGGGCCATAAATGTGACAACACATTGGATATTGTGACAACACATTAGAGGATGATATTGGCACACTTAATGTCCTTAAACATAATTGAACATAATTTTTAATTTGGAATTTTACGAGATGAATGCCAGAGCTAAGGTCTAGGAAGCTGGATCAAACTTTTCTCCATTGTCATTGAAATAATAAAGGTTTCTTGGGAAGTAGTTTGCATCATGAGGGTGGTGTATTGGAAGATTGACATGTTTGATGGGCAAAGGGTCATAATATTATTAGTTTTGTTCCTAGAAACAATACTTATTTGTGTAGACGCAAACTTTTTTTTTTTTGAGTGATAGGGAATTCTAAGGTAGATAATGTTTCCATGGGATTTTTAGGAAGAGTAGGAATTGATCATTCGAAATATCATTTCCATCATTTAGAG